TTCAACAAGTTGAACAGATAATCCACCCTAACCCCGCTACTTGGTATCGGTATCAGTATCGGCGAGTACCCAAACTGAAGTACTCGTACTAGTACTCAGTCTTGAAAAAACTGGTATCGGGACACCCCTAGTTTAAATAAATCTGTCAACATCATTAAACTGTGATGAAGATCTCAGACAGCAGTAACACCATCGTCTTGTATCTTACCCCCTTCCACCACCACAAGATTGACGTCTTTGTGCAGAACAACCGTTCCCGTCAGGTACAGCTGGTTGGCGTTGGCCTCTACTTTAAACTTCTTGGCAGGATTTTGTAAATAACGGATCCTGGGAGGGAAAGAAAAGGTGAATAATGCATTTCAAAGGGATCTCGTATCATTTCTCAGCTGCGACAGGGTTTCATTAAGGCAGGGTAAATTTAAGACTTTTTAAGACCTCTTTAATGCCACTTGAAATTAAATTTAAGACCAGCTTCACAATAAACAGAAATGGAATAAAACGCAGTTAGCGACAATTTTATGCAAACGTTTAACACAAAACAACTAGCATTAGAATCATTTGGCATTAAATTATTTTAAAAAATAAAGAAATGTTAGCAATTATTTTAATATTTGAGACAGATTACAACCATTCTTACAACATTTTTAAGACCACTGATAGATTGATTTAAGACCTTTTGAGGCTAATTAAGGCCTTAACTTTAGATTGATGAATTAATGCTTTAACCCCGTGCAACATGTGCATCCTCTGGACATCAACCTACCTGTAAACTGCAATGTGAACACCATCTGTGATGTCTTCTTTTAACTTCTTCACCTTCTTCTCTTTCCTCTGCTCTGCTGTGAGCTTCCGAGCAGCGTTGGCCTCCTCGTGGATTCTGCAAAGACGACAAAACCTTTAAAAATCTTTGAAAACGACAGGTTTTTGTATTTATAGATGTTTTTCAACGACAGTAAACATTCAATGACGAAAGACAAAGATCTTATTTGAGCTACTAACTTTTGTCTTTTGAACATACGATCCCTCACAAAGTTCTCCACTTTTGTGGGGTCCTGAACTGCCTCCGTCCCCAAAACTCTCATGAGGTTGGAGATACGTACTGCATAAAAATAAATAAATAAAATAAAACATCAACGGCAGTTTGCGGAGCCAAACAAACAATGCACTGGTTTGCAGTAAGTGTGATTTAGAGGCATTTACCTTTGGGTTCTGGTGGAGGCATGAGTCCCAAACGGACCTTCTCCTGCACTTCTTTCTGCCCCTCCCTCCGTGTTTGTCGTCTTAGTTTCTTCTGTTCTTTCTTTGTCAAGTAAACACCCAGTGTTACCGGCTTATCGCTGTCCACTGCAGGAAGAAACACACAACATAGTTTCACATGCAACTCTTAGAAAAGAGCTCATAGAAAAATACACAACAATATTCAACCATACACACCTCATATAATTCAAGGTTTACAAGAAAGGAGTGTACGTGTGGGTGGTATGACGGTGTTTTGGTACTAAAATATGGTGACGTATATAAAAATTATGGGGGTATTGTCACGTGAGGTGTTGTGCCAAGTTTCCCAGCAATTTCTACAAGGCCTGCAGGTTTCACCCACGGGCCACATTTGGCCCACGGGCCTTGTGTTTGACACATGTGTTCTAAAGGTTTACATGTATGAAAATGATGAAGACAGAGGATTATGCATAGGCCTGTCACGATAACAAATTTTGCTGGGCGATTAATTGTCTCAAAATTTATTGCGATAAACGATAATATTGCCTGGTGACCRTTTTACAACTAATAATTATAAAAGCATAATGTGTAAGTTCATTACATGTCTGTTCATTACTTTCATGGACAGAATTTCTAGGCGCAGCCGAGGTGTTGAGGGGATCCGTTTTGGTGGTCTTAGGATCGCATCTCTGCTTTTTTCGGATGATGTGGTCCTGTTGGCTTCATCGGAACGAGATCTGCAGCTCTCGCTGGAGCGGTTCGCGGCCGAGTGCGAAGCGGCCGGGATGAGGCTCAGTGCCTCCAAATCCGAGGCCATGGTCTTGAGCCCTCTGGGTCAGGGGGGTCGTCCTGCCTCAAGTGGAGGAGTTTAAGTATCTGGGGATCTTGTTCACGAATGGGGGAAGGGAGCGGGAGATCGACAGGCGGATTGGCGCAGCATCTGCTGTTAAGCAGGCGCTGTACCGGTCCGTCGTGGTGAAGGGAGAGC